CATGAATTTGTAACTGAGGATCATAGAACGCCGCTCCCGCACAATTCTGATCTTTCGATCCATCGGTAAACAACCTATAAAATCCATCATATTCAACAGAACACAGATGAATAAACGAACTTGCTATATTATCTGCATTGTAAAAACGCTTAGGTTTATCTAAAATTGGAATGTTAGGTTTGACAACTAGTGGTACATTAATATAACTAACCCATATGTTAAGAGAGAACATTTCTAGGAGACTGCTAGTAAACGAAGGCACGTTCTGGAACGACTTACTTACTTCTACCAATAAGGGTGTCTTTTTTCTATTCCATAATTTCTTCGTGCATAATAAAGTTAATTTATTAATTGAGGATACTACTGGGTTTGAATTTAAAGAATTGCTTTTAAAAGAAAATTTACTCGCCAAAAAATGTCTACGTACGTGAAGAGGTGGTAGTGATAGCTCACTTTCCATAACGTGAATAGGAGTGCTTCTAATGAATCCTCCTATAATTCGCATACTTGTATTTTGTATAAAATTAATTTTTTTAAGGTGAGAGTTACACGACACATCATAAAGAAAACTAGCATAATCCACTCGACTTCGCAAGCTAGCAATATAAATCCTTCTTAAATGTATAGGGTGGACTCCCCAACCCGAACCAGCTAAAACTTTTAAAATATTCAAAAATTTTGAGCATTTTGAATAGATTTCATTAATGTGTTTGCCCCAGCGAAGCCCGCGGTCAAGCCATAACCCCAGATATTTAACATTTTCCACTACTTCTATTATTGTCCCATTAATTTTTAGCTCTAAATATCCCCTAAAGGGACTCTTCTTGAAAACACATAATTTACTTTTCGCAGGAGACAGGCTTAGACCTAAATTACCTAAGAGTTGTGATAGCAAATTAATAGCATCCTGCAATTCAAATAGACCATGAGAAATGTCTCCATTTGAGGTATATAACGCAAAGTCGTCGGCGTATTGCATAATTTGTACCTTGTTTTTAATTTGCCTGCAGATATCAACTGAGACTATATTAAACAACAGAGGCGATATCGGATCACCCTGTGCTAGTCCTCTACTACAGTACCTAGTTACAACGCCATTATCAAACTTAATATGAATTTTCCTTTCTTTTAAAAAGTTCCAAAGATAGCGGCATGTTTTAGCCCCAACATCAAGTCTATCTAATATGGTTAGAAGTGGCCCAAGATCAACATTATTGTATGCATTGTCTATGTCTACAAAGCAGCCAAGTGTAGGACGATTATTAGCAAATCCGATTTGAATATCAGAAACGAGTAGACTAAGATTATCTAAGCAGGATTTGGATTTCCTGAAGCGAAAAGTCAGTTCCGAAAAAACATTCCTCTTTTCTAATAGCCACTCCAATCTTTTGCCTATGATCCCATGAAAGATTTTGCATATACAGGAAATTAGCGAAATTGGCCGTAGGGACGAAGCATCTTGAGAAATACGACCAGGCTTCGGTATTGGTATAACCCTAATATCCCTCCATTGTGATGGAACAAACCCTGATTCCAGAAAACGATTATATAGTTTTAATAAATATAATTTACCAATATCGGGTAAGTTCCTGATCATAGAATATGAAATGTCATCATGGCCCGGGGCCGTATCCTTAGATTTAATACTATTCGTTAGTTCCTGTAAGGTAATAGGAATTTCAATACAAGACTCTGTAGGTCTAAAATGAGGGTATGGTGAGCTGACGTAATCAGGGCAGATGTTACGCAGTAAACTAGTTGCTGTATTTTCGTCAATTTGAGTCTTAGGGATATATCGACCCTTGAACCAACGCATTTTATCCCACATCTGCCCTGATGATGTTTTGATATCA